ACTTTGTCACCCTGGGTAGACTGCGAAAGCATCACAGCTCACAGCAACCTCAAACTCTTGGGTTTAAGCGATTCTCTTATCTCAGCCTCCCAAGTAGCTGGGACTACAGGCACCCACCACAACGCCCGGCTATTTTTTGGTTGTAGTTGTCATTGTTGTTTAGCAGGCCTAGGCGGGGTTTGTACCCGCCAGCCCTGGTGTATGTGGCCAGCTCCCTAACCATTGAGCTAAGGGGGCCGAGCCTGTTTTTTTTATTTTAAAAAATAATTTTTTAATTGTTTTTTGTTTTGATTTGTTTCTTATGCTATTACATGTAACAAATGATATATACAATATGATAATTCTTGGTGTAAAGTTGACTTTCTTGAAATTACTCAGGATTGTACCATTTAAATTAGTCTTTGGGGCTGGACACAGTGACTCAAACCTATAATCTTAGCACTCTGGGAGGCTGAGGCGGGTGGATCCCCTGAGCTCAGGAGTTGGAGACCAGCCTGACCAAGAGTGACACCCCTTTATACTAAAAATAGTAAAAATTAGCCGGGCATTGTTGGGATAGTCTGTAGTCCCAGCTACTGAGGAGGCTGAGGCAAGAGGATTGCTTGAGCCCAGGAGTTTGAGGTTGCTGTGAGCTATGATGATGCCACAGCACTCTACTTAATAAAAAATAAAAAATAATAAAAAAATAAAAAATAAAAAAATAAAACAAATAGGCCGGATGTGGTGGCTCAGGCCTGAATCCTAGCACTCCAAGATGCTGAGGAGGGTAGATTGCCCTGAGCTCTTAGAGGTTCAAGACCAGCCTGAGCCAAAGTGAGACCTCATCTCTATAAAAAAAAAAAAACGCCAGGCATTGTGGTCTGCACCTATAATCCCAGCTACTTGGGAGGCTGAGGCAAGAGAATTGCTTAAGCCCAATAGTTGGAGGTTGCTGTGAGCTATGATGTCACTGCACTCTACTGAGTGCCACAAAGTGAGACTGCCTCAATACAAATTTTTTTAAATAAATAAATAGGGTAGTGCCTATTGCTCAAAGGAGTAGGGCGCTGGCCCCATACTAGAGGTGGCAGGTTCAAACACAGCCCCAGCCAAAAAAACTGCAAAAAATAAATAAAATAAATAAAACAAATAAACTAGTCTTTGATCTTCAATGACTAGAAGGTCTCATATAGCTCAACAGTTCAGCTATTAATTTTGAAAACAAAATAATTAATTTTTATGTTTGGATTTTAAGTTTGCAAGTCCTTTGAACTGATCTTAGAAGATCTCCTAACCCTTACCCCACCCTATTCCCAAACTTCATCCCTAACTAAATGCACTACCAACATCAAGGTCACTCTCTTAGATGTTTGTGTCTTTCATTGGCTTATCACTATGTATAGGTGTTGGCTGCTTATGTGTGTATTTGTATTTATATGTTTTGATTCCCTCAAATAAAACCTCTTGGGATTTTAATTTCAGATAACTCAGAGAACAGAAATTTTTTTGGTTCCTGGTTTATTATTTGAATTTGCAAGAGGAAGGAGCTCTCAGGCCTAGTTAATGGGAGCTGAGGTCTCCACCCACTTGCCTAGGGCAAGACTAGTTTACAACACCTTCGGAATGACCAGTTCCTCCCCCTTTATTTCAGTAGAAAGGGTGAAAGAGGCAACCCATTTAATGCTGTCTTGTGTGTGATGCTAGCAGAATACTCTGTAGTGCTGTCATTACTCATTGTGTTTCCAGTCTGTTTGGTCCTGGACTAGATTCAGACCTCAAGAATTATGGCCTTGTCATCAACTGAGAATATTGCACTTGGTACATTGCCCCAGAGTTTGCTCTTTGGTGATACTGTGCCCTTTACCAAATCCCTTCCCCCAAAGATGGCATTACATACATGTGAGAAGGTTGTAGACTTCCCCATCTCATGGCTGACTAGACAGCAGCTCCATGGAGGCTCCCTCTGCTCCACTGAATTCCTCATGCCTAACTCTAACTAGAACTTGAAAGATGCTCAGCAAATAACTGCTGAATGAGGGAGTCAGCCATCCTGCTCTCCTTGGGTAGTCTGTCCTGTAGGGAACAGATGCTGCTGTCAGCCAGGACATTCACATTTGTGGTTTTGAATTTCAGGGACATGACATGCATTTCACTTTGGTCAGAACTGACTTTTTTTCTCTCTGATAATTACATGCAAACTTCACTTCTCCAAAGTTTCTACTTACTAAATATTAGTACTTGTTTCACCTTGCTTCAAATTGGGCTTCAATATAATTTTTAAATGCATATTTTCAGCACCCCTGCTTGAGTAATTGATAGTCTTCATAACAAATTTACATTTATCATCACATTATTTTAGTATCTCATTATTTACATTATTATCATCGCAAATACTTTATTATTCCTTTGAGCAGCCAATCTCATGAGAAGCTCAGAGGGGAATTTGTAGGTCATGATAGATGTATTTTTTGACTTGCTTCCAAACGCACTTTACTATTGCCTACTGTTTTAATTATTTCAGAAGATCATAGATTCCTTGAAAAGCTCACAAAAGAAAACAATCCAAAGTGTAGTGGTTAGGAACATAAATTAAAAAAAAAAAAAAACAGAACATGAGCCTACCTTGGCTTGAATTCTAGATGGGCTACTTCCTAGCTAGGAAGTAATCATGGGCAAATTATTAAATCTCTAGCCCTCAATCTTCTCCTCTGTAAAATGGGGATACAGGCTGAGCATCTTAATCCAAAACTCCAAGCTCCAAAATGCTTCAAAATCCAAGAATTTTGGAGCACCTCCATGATACCACGAGCGGAAAATTTTACACCTGACTTGCTTGATATGGTGTAAAATTTTCCACTTGCAGTATCATGAAGGTGCTCCAAAATTTTTGAGGGTTCAGAATCAAAATACAATCAAAACTTTGTTTCATGTGCAAAATTATTTAAAATATTGTATAAAACTACCAGGCGATGTATATAAGACATATATAAAACATAAGTGAGTTTTGTGTTTAGACTTGGGTCTTATCCCCTATGTACGCGTAAATATCCCAAAATAAAAAAATGACAGTGAAACCGGAAACAATTCTGGCCCCCAGCATTTTGGGTAAGGGGTGCTTAACCTGTAATAACAATCCTGGCCTCCTAGGGTTCCAGTGAGGATTAAATAAGATTATGTATATAATGACCTAGTGCAATCTCTTTGTACATAGTAAAAATATTCAATAATTATTAATTCAATAGGTATAAACTTTAAAGTAATAAGATTGGGTGCAAAAAACAGATGTGTTTTCTTCATTTTCCATAGAAGTCATTTCAGCCCCGGACCCTAAGCTATTCCATGTGTGGTGTTTGGGTGGGGGCGGGGTGGAAGAGTCCACTTTCCCCTTGGACTGGTCCTGTGCCGGTGTCTGTGCAGATTTACCGGTTCTGTGCATAGGTGCTGCCGGTTGTTCCCTCTGGCAGGATTCAGCAGGGCCCTGTTGCAAACTCCGTCCCTACCTGGCTCCAGCATAGCTGATCTCCAGCTCCTCTGCCTGCGGGTCGGTGTTGCTTCATTTTGAGACGCACCCTTGTAAGGACTGTGGTCCTCTCCTCAGCTGATTTCCTGGTCCCCAGTCAGAACGGAGGGAAACGTCTCTGCCCTTTCTCATACCACCTGGAAGCCCTGGGGAGGTCAGGGGTGCTTTGCTGTCACCCACTGTGGTTGTCCTGTCACTTCTCTTCCAGCCTCCTTTTCCCTGGTGGAGGCCATTATGTAAGTCAGCCACCTCCAAGAACCCCAGACAGTCACTCATGTCCTCACCACTAGGGACAGCAAGAGTGGGGAGGGGCAGGGCAAGCTGCATGTCCACTCTCCCATCTTACTCCTTTAGCTTCTTCAAGGGCACTTTGTTTCTCCTCTCCAGCTCCAAGCCCTTGCTGGTGTACATTTCAAAGGGATGAAAAACCGGTTTTGTGAGCACTTCCTGGGGATCTGTCCGTGTCTGGGGTGTTTGTTTTGTTGGCCCACTTCAGGGTAGAAGTAGAAGGAATCCCCCTTGGGCCGATGACTCCAAATAGTTTGCCTTAAGTTAACACTCCTGCTCTGCTCTTATTATTTTTATTATGCAAATTTACTTAATCTGAAGTGATTCTTTTACTTTCTGAAGGCAGCGTTTCATAGGTCTTGGGACTCCACAGAAATGAATAAATATTTTGTTTGGGAACTGACAAACGGTTGCCAACTTTTAATTTTATAAACCAAAAAAAAAAAAGTCTTAAAACTGCCATCTATTCTACCATTTCTTTGAGTCTCCCCCCACCCCAGTGGAAAGATAAAATTGAAGAGCAAAGAGCCGTCCTTTTAAACCAAGGTTAGCTGTATGAGAACTCAGCAAGTTGCCCTGGGTTTGCTCATGGAGCTGCAGTTCAGCGAAAATTTCTTCCAGACCAGCACCAGGCAGCTCAGCGACATCTGAAAATCACTGTCCTGGAGCTTTTCAGCCACCGAATCGGGTTCATTGTCGGTTGTGATTATATATGAAGTGCTTTCAAGAACCGATCTATAGGGTAACTCAGGCCAAAGGAAACACGGTGCCTGAACACTCCGCCAAAGGAGTGTTGAGTTTGCCTGATTTTCTGGAAAACTGCCTTCACTCCCTACTTCCCTGTATTTGGGCAAATAAAACCCGGCCTCAGAGAGCTGTTGCAGGAGAAATTATAAAAATGCTGCAAAGCCTCGTGATCTCATTTTGGATCTCCTTAGGATTCCTCATCAAGTTGCAATTATGGTGAGAAAAATTCTGCCTTGGGGTCTGATTTTAATTGCTCATCGTGTTATGACTCGACTTTCTGTGCTGCGTTTCTTTCCATATCACTGCATCTGTGTTTGACAGCTCCTCCAGAGTCACTTTGTTTTACACCAACAGCCAAGTACTTATTAAGTCGAAAGGAAAAGCAAGGCGCACATCTACTACTGCCTTTGTGCTTTTCCCAGAAAACAGGGTGGGAACCAACTTCTTCCTTTCTTTACCCCTTCAGCCTTCCTTCTATGAACCCGTGGAGCCAGTGGACTTTGAAGGACTTCTGATGACACATCTGAACAGCCTGGATGCCCAGGAGCTTGCCCAGGAGCTGGGAGACTTCACCGATGATGACTTGGACGTGGTCTTCACACCAAAGGAATTTAGGACTTTGCAGCCCTCTTTGCCGGAGGAAGGGTAAATCTTTTTCTTAATATGTTGATGGGATTGTGACTATCATGACCATTGTCAGTGAGCGGGGAGATGCCCTAGATCTGAACTTCTTTGAAAAAAATAAAATTACCTAATTCATCAAGATGGGCAGGACAACTCCATGAGACTCACCTGGGTGTAGATTGTTTTCAAATTGGTTTGGCTGGAGACTTTGAAAAGCTGTGTGGAGACTAAGCCGGCTCAAGGGACGCAGTGGGACAAAATAAAATGCTCAAGAAGAGGCTAAAAGTGCAGGCTGTGGAGCCAGACTGCTCCGGTGAGTCACATGACCTCATTAGGCCTCAGTTTCTCCATTTGTAAAAATGTCAAGAGCTTTCACGAAATCCGTTTGGAAGCATTTTATTTGCTTCCATGGAAGAGACTGGATCAAGTTAGAAAAGTCAGCCCACATTTATTGACTATTACTATGTGCTACGTACTGGGATAAAAAGATGAGTAAGCCAAAAGTCCCTTCCCCTGAAGAAAGTGTTGTCCCGTGGAAAAACAGCAGGGACAACTCTGTAGAGAGATGGGAATAGATACTTAGGTCTGGAGTTTCTGCAGAGGGTGTTTGTGCTGATAGGTGCAGGCATTAGCTCTTGGCATCACACTAACCATGGAATTATAGCTGAATGAAATTCCTGTTGCTTCCATAGTATAAAAATCAATGTCCCTTCGGAGGTTTAATATGAACTTTTATTTGCATTCATTTTGAAAGTAAAATTAAGATTCACATAATCGTGGACATTTTCAACCTTCTCATCTTCCCCCAAAAAGTCCCAGAAAGAGGATCATGAAACATAGCCCCTGCCCTCAGCACTCTGTGGTATTCTACTTCTATTGGGGATTTTATTTCTTATACTTTGGGGAGGCTGAATGACAGTGATGTGGTAGTACCGTGACCTTTCTTCTTTAGACAGTTCCCATTCACATAGGAGAGCTGACCGTATGAGCAGCTCTAATGACGTAAAGATGTACATTTCCCAGAAAACAAAAATATTATTCTCAGAAAACATGTTTCCCCATTTTCAGTCCATTTATTCAGGCGTGGCCTTAGTACAGGTGACACCTTGGTTGAGTGTCATTGAATTTTATTTCTTTGTGTAAAAGGTTTGGTTAATTATCTTCAAATGCAATCAGAATCTTGGGAAAACCTGTTTAAAATACTGACAGTAAATTTAGAGGAAGGAGGTTTTGTTGTTAGCCTTGATAAGGAAGGTTACTTTTACTTAACATCAGTTTTTAAGTATAATACTGTCTCATCTCCATAATTTATAGCTCACCCATTATCTGTCTGATAACTTTAAAATGACCTTTATTATTTCAAGGGTTGCCAAAAAGTCTTTTGCATAATTAAAGCAGGGGACGTTATCCTTGCCATCATCAGAGTAAACAATAACTGAGTCATGGTTGAACACCCTGGGCCCCGCCCAGGACTTTATGTCGGGCTGTGATGGTGTAGTGGTTGTAAGCATGAGCTCTACAGGTCAGCTGCCCTGTGCAGGGATTCAAGTCCTTGTCCCACCACTTGTTATGTGAGTGGGAGCAAGATCCTTATTATCTCATTCTTCTGCAAAATGAGGATAGTAGTAGGGCCTACCCTATGGGTCTGATTGAAAATGACCTAGATTAATACAGGTAAAGTGATTACATCAGTGTCTAGTGGTACATGTGTGAATTTTCGTGTACAGGTATTATTAAGCACCAGACTCTTCTAAGCACTTTGCACACGGACTAATTTACAAGTCTTTCAAGGAAGCACTCTTCTCATTATTACCACTTTAAGGTGAGGCAAAGAAGAGTGGACCCACTGGCTCAAGGTCCCATAGCTTTAAGGGATTAAGCTGAAAAGAGGGCAGTTAGGGCCCAGAGACCACATGTCTAACCTTTGCAATATTTCATCTAGTATTTATAGAAAGCCCACAGGTAGGTACCATTCTTATCCCCTTTTTATGAATAAGAAAATGAAGGCGTGTTTATCTCTCCTACTAACTCAGCCGCAACAATAGCAAAAAGCTACTATTGTTCTGTGCGATTTCGAGACTCTGAAACACCGAGAGTATGTCTCACAGCACGGTCCTAAGCAAGTAGGACAGAACCATTAAATTAATGACCACCAGCCACAGCCAGTGTTGGCACAGTCGCCAAAGCGTAAGACTACTGTTCTTCTGGGCTTTCCGAAAGGAGAACTTGCATGTCCTAACAAGGTTACACAAGCGCAAAAAATATGTTGAAATTACCCTGTCGGAATAGGTATTTATACTCATTTTTCTTGTTTTGTATTTGATTACAGCAAGTTCTACCTGTCTTGTGTCAGAATGCCTTCAGGGACAGTTAAAGTTTAACATGATTCTCTATAATAAAGAAAACCCACAAAGCATAAAATACCAACATGTTTATCTCGTCAAAGTAAAAATGCTGTTGCCTCCGGATACTTCAGACACCTGGAATGAATGGGCAGCAACCGCCTTAGCATTCGCCCGGATCCGGGTTTAAAGTCCTCTTGCACTCCTCGGTTATAATAAGGGATTGTTTTGTTGCTTTCACCGGTGATAACATGTTTTCCTTTCCTTTTCCCCCTCCATAGGGTTGAACTGGACCCTCATGTCAGGGATTGTGTCCAGACCTATATCCGGGAATGGCTAATCGTGAACCGGAAGTAAGTCACTTTTCTGCCCTCTCTGTATCGGTACATATTGTTTTTTAAATTGTTTAAATAGGCCTTTTGGGAAGAGTTTTGGGTTTACAGAAAAGATAAGTGGAAAGTACTGAGAATTCTCATATACTCCCTCACCATCTCACAGCCCCCCCCACCCCCCACACACCCAGCTTCCCCTCTTAGGAACCCCTTGCATTAGTGTGGCCCATTTGTTAGAACCGACAAGCCAATATTGGTATGTTGTTAACTAAAGTCCATGGTTTTGAGTGGCACCTGTGACTCAAAGGAGTAGAGCACCAGCCCCTATATTGGAGGTGGCAGGTTCAAGCCCTGCCTCGGCCAAAAATAAATAAAAAGTAAAGTCCATAGTTTGCACTAGTGTTCACTTTTGGTGTCATATATTCCATGTGTTTTGACAAATGTACGGTGACATGAATCTGCTCTTTCAGTATCATACTGAATAGTTCCACTGCCCTAAAACCCCCCTGTTCTCCACCTATTTCTCCTTCTCTCCCACACTGGCGACTACCTGTGATTTTTACTGTCTCTGTAACTTCACTTCCTTCCTCCATGTGGCTTGGTAGTGCATTTTTTATTGCTGAATAATGTTCCATTGTATGGAATACCACCCTTTGTTTATACATTCACTTATAGAAGGAGAAAGTTAATTTTAAATGTAAAGAATAGAGCCTTTTTGTTTTATTTTCATTCTGATGAATTTCTATTGAAAAAAATAAGTGAATTAAAACGTGGCCTCAGCCTCAAAGGTGGCATTTACAAATCAAAAGCGCTTTGAAATATCACCTAATCCCAGTGAGAATGACCCACAGGACAAAATCCCAGAGCAGGAGCTTGCAGAGGGCAGGGAACATCCCTGCGCTAGTGGTGGGACTGCAAACTAGCACTGCCTCTATGGAAAGAAGGAGGGAAAGTCCCAAAGAACTAAAGGTAGACCTTCCCTTTGATCTTGCAATCCCATTTCTAGGTATCCACTCAAAAGAAAAAAAGTCATTTTACCACAAGGATATTTGCACTCCAATGTTGATAGCCGCTCAATTCACACCGCCAAAGATGTGGAAACCATTCCAGTGCCCTTCAACACGTGAATGGATTAATAGACTGTGGTCTGTGTATCCCATGGAATACTATTCAGCCATAAAAGATAGAAATTTTATATCTTTTTTAACAACCTGGGTGGATTTAGAGAACACTCTCCTAAGTATCAAAGAAACAGAAAAACAAGTATCACATGTGCTCAATACTAAATTGAAACTAGTAGATTAATAACCAAGTGCTCCCTTGAGAGAAAAACTCAATTAAGAGGGTGGAGAGAGAGGGTTCGGCAAGTTCGTGGGTATATGGCACATTTCTTGGGTGAAGGGAACAACTACAACTTGAACTTTACCTTACAAATGCAAACAATGTGACCTCATCACATGTACCCTCATATTAATCTGAAATTAAAAAAAAATTTTAAGCCAAAAAGGTGGCATTTAAATTTTTGTGACCAAGACATAAGTTGTGTGCTAGCCTTCCAGTAAAGGACCTTTCTCTCTTGGGTTAATCAAACCTTCTCTGACATTGTTCTGAGCTTTTCCTCTCCATGCTCTGAGCTGGACAGCACGCTCTCATGAGAAACGTCTGTGCACATGGAAATCCTCAACCTGGGTGGGTGTATGTGTTGGGGGCTGGGAAGGAACTGTCTACAGATTGGGGCACACTGCTAGAGGCATGTCAGAGAACCTTTGATGAGACATAAGTAGTTTGACATTCTGATAGCCTCACCTGCCCTATGAGCCTGTAAGAATTACTGTCCTATGGGGTAAAGAATGAAAGACTTTGGAGATTGAGTTTTATCTAGATGCCTGAGGTGTTCCATTGAATTTGTGCTGGAGTGGTGTCCATATGCGTACTATTTTCAATAGCTCAGAAAGAGAAAGCATCGCTTGTAATTAAGAGAAAGTTAGATGCTACTCTGTTCTACTATGAATGGAAAATGAAGTATACCCAATAGTCAAATGAGATTGTGCTTTGCTGGTAATAAGTAAAAGATCTCAAAATAAGTTGTACTTAAGTTTTAAAATGTTGTTAGAGGTACTTTCTGAGTATTAAAAACTTTTTTAAAATCTGAGAAAAGACAATAAATAGAAAGTTTTCAGATAATTTTTTATTTGGGACCTGCACTTTGCTCACGGCAATGTGGGCTTCTTGGAATATTATTTTTTCTCTAACTTATAGAAGCTTAACGGAAAAAAAAAAAAAAAGGACTCTTTGTAGAATATTCATTGTAGACATTTTTAGAAATTATAAACAAAACAAAAATCACTCATTGTCACTTTAGAGCGATAACCACCACAGACATTTGAGGTAGCCTTTAAATTGTATTTCTTTGTGTATGTTTGTACAAAAACTAAATCAAATTATTTGTGTAGCATGCATCTTTGATTTTCACGGTAAGGGGTGATTATCTCTCTTTGCTATTAAATATTCTTCCTGAACGCAATCATTAATGATTATATATTTATATGAAATTTTATTTAACTAATTTTAATGTTTAGATGAAACTTTTTAAATCTAATTCTTCTATTGAAAATGCAACAACATCTTTCTCACTAAAACTCTGTGCACATTTATGGTTTTTTCCTTTGCAATTAATCCTTACAAGAGGAATTTCTATGTTAAAGGCTATGTCCAAACTTGAGGATCTGGAATAACAGACCAAAGATTATTAAGTATTTGTGGATCCTCAAGAATATTAGATATTGTGATTTATTTCTATTTCCAACTTTATTTGTAAAATGGCTGTCTTTTATTTCATTTCCTCTGATTATTAGATTAGGCATCTTTTTCCACTTTTTTGTGATTTATGATTTTTTCTTGGGGCGCTGCTTCTTTATTAAACTTGAGCACCTCTATTCATCAAACAATATGTATTCTAAACAATATATCAGGTCTTGTTTATCTTGGGGAACACTGTTATTTGTTAAAGGTATTAACACTTTGTCACCGTTTATAAACTCCTTATCCAGTATGCCTTCTGCCCTTTAAAATCGTTTATACTTTTTAACATTAAGAATTACTTATGTAATTAAATCTCTGGTGATATTTTTCCTTATGGCTTCTACTGTTGGTGTCATGCTTCAAATTTCATTCATAAACCTATTACTGTTTTCTAGGAGTTTGGGATCAAAGTATGAATTCAGATCATTAGCCACTTGATTGTTTCTGTTCCCTTATTTGACTCCATTTGTTTTTATTTTTCTGAAAAAGCAGTGATTATCCATGTATTTATTCTGTGCAAGGTTTTGCATTTTTCATCCCCAAACAACACAATATCTGCTTTATCTTTGGCAACATACGAGGCATGGTGATTGCTGTTGCCCCAGTTCTCTGCACACTTGTGTAATGGACCAGTTCCCTTCCCAGAAATCAGCTGGTGGACAGGGAGAAGTGTGCAACTTCAAAACCCATTGTCGGCTCGGCGCCTGTGGCTCAAGCGGCTAAGGCACCAGCCACATACACCTAAGGTGGCGGGTTCGAATCCCCAGCCCGGGCCCG